GCCCCGAGGACCATCTTCTTCGTCGCCGGGTCCCGACCCTTCTGTCGGCGAGCCTGGGCAGACGGCCGACAGGAATCACTCCCAGCCCCAACGACTCCGACCCTGTCACCAAGCCGGCATGGCTGCGGCCATWAGCTGCGTACTCGAAACCCCGGGGGCAAGTCCCACTAGCTTGGATTCTTCATTTCTGGCCGTCGATCTTTGCAATCCAGGGTCAGAAACGAACACCTCGGGTAACTGCCAGGTGGTACTTCGCCCCCGCCGGGTCAATGAAAGAGCCTCGAGCGCCAACASACAGACAGACGGCGGAACAGAATYGATCAATGCTGGTACCCTGACGAGCCAAGGAAGATTCGTAGTCTCTCTCCTTTCATATCTCTCTTCACGGCTTCACGGTGTCTCGTGGGGACCACCGCCTTACTTCCCCCCCGCCTCCCCCGCTCTCACCCGGGCTGGTCATCTCCCCCGGCAGTAGACTACGGGCGTCGCCACACCACTCTCGAAATGTGAAAAAGACAAAAATGTGGCGGGTGCATCTGGCCATGTTGTAGCGGGAAGTTCGTTCTCATTTTGCACATTTCGAGAGTGGTGCGGCCATGCCCGACCAGCGGCGAGATAGATGCCCTCCCTCCCCCACCCTCCGCCGGGTATGTGCTCTTCTCTTTTTGTCTCAGTCGTGATATTATTGTTGTGTATAAAGCTGGCTGCTTTGCCGCCGTAGAGTTGCAAATCAGTGACAGCACAGAGCCTCTAGCGTGTGGTGCCTGCGATCTACWTCCCCAGCAGAGCTGGGCCAGAGCGGTAGCGCTGTGTGACACTCTGTGGGTCATTTACCGGAGAGTCGGAGTGGTAGGGTCTCTTGTGAGCTTCGCTTGGCCGAGAGAAGACAGCACTGCCAGCTATGGCGGAGCAGCCATTGTCGATGGTTATGGTCGAGGAGAAGATGGCGAGGGAGGAGAGGGAGGAGGAGGAGGAGGAGAGAGAGGTCCCCGTGCATGTCGTGGACGCTAAGGCTTTGTGTCATGGATGCGGGCACGACGGATCCGACGGCCCGTGCCTGGTCCCGGTCCATCCCGACGTGCTCCGAGCTGTGTACCTGGACTACGAGCAAAAGGCTCGACACCTCAAGATCAACTTTTTTCAGTACCTGGAACTGATCGGCATGGGGAAAACGGGACTGGTTTGTCCCCACTCCAGACACAGAAAAGCAGAGGAGGACAGTGACTCCACGGGAGTGGGGGTCCATGGGCCCTCTATGGCCCCAACGCCGGGACCGATGAGGATAAATACACCATCTGTCGTCATTCAAGGCCAGGTACGTCGGTTTGCTTGCCATGGGTCTCAGTGTCATTTCCG